GTTCATAAAGATTCGGGGGTTTTGGGATTCCCAGTTCATAAAGATTCGGGGGTTTTGGATTCCCAGTTTAAAGATTCGGGGGTTTTGGATTCTCAGTTTAAAGATTCGGGTGTTTTTGGATTCCCAGTTCATAAAGATTCGGGGTTTTTTGGATTCCCAGTTTAAAGATTCGGGGGTTTTGGGATTCCCAGTTTAAAGATTCGGGGGGTTTTCTGATTCCCAGTTCATAAAGATCGGGGGTTTTTGGATTCCCAGTTTAAAGATTCGGGGGTTTTGGGATTCCCAGATCATAAAGATTTGGGGGGTTTGGATTCCCAGTTTAAAGATTCGGGGGTTTTGGATTCTCAGTTTAAAGATTCGGGTGTTTTTTGATTCCCAATTTAAAGATTCGGGGGTTTTTTGGATTCCCATTTTAAAGATCCAACCAATCATGCAGCACAAAGACAAATGCCCTCCCCCCCTTCGGAAGCCCTATGAGTCGATGCTATAAAGCTGTCTATAAACAACAACAAAAATAATTTGCAATAAATTTGGATTCCCAGTTTAAAGATTCGGGAGTTATTCGATTCCCAGTTTAAAGATTCGGGGGTTTTCTGATTCCCAGTTCATAAAGATTCGGGGGTTTTGGATTCCCAGTTTAAAGATTCGGGGGTTTTGGGATTCCCAGTTCATAAAGATTCGGGGGGTTTTGGATTCCCAGTTTAAAGATTCGAGGGTTTTGGATTCTCAGTTTAAAGATTTGGGTGTTTTTGGATTCCCAGTTCATAAAGATTCGGGGGTTTTTGGATTCCCAGTTTAAAGATTCGGGGGTTTTGGGATTCCCAGTTTAAAGATTCGGGGGGTTTTCTGATTCCCAGTTCATAAAGATCGGGGGTTTTTGGATTCCCAGTTTAAAGATTCGGGGGTTTTGGGATTCCCAGATCATAAAGATTTGGGGGGTTTGGATTCCCAGTTTAAAGATTCGGGGGTTTTGGATTCTCAGTTTAAAGATTCGGGTGTTTTTTGATTCCCAATTTAAAGATTCGGGGGTTTTTTGGATTCCCATTTTAAAGATCCAACCAATCATGCAGCACAAAGACAAATGCCCTCCCCCCCTTCGGAAGCCCTATGAGTCGATGCTATAAAGCTGTCTATAAACAACAACAAAAATAATTTCCAAATAGATTGAAAAATAACATATGTTCACGAGCATTCACAATGCCTCAAATTTACTGCAATTAACTACATTCATCAACAACTGCTAAATAAATACAAGTACGTTTTCTATCCTAATGAGAAAGAGGATCCACCACCAGGAGGTTTGTGTACACGAGATGAAGGTCGGAAGTCGGAACGGCTGGTCGTCATCAACTTGTCCTCCTAAAGGATGGAAAATAAAATTGAGTTTTCAGCTAACATGCCATAGATTTCAAAGTGGCGGTAGGCACCCAGGTGTAAAGACCTGTGTACCTAAAATGCTCATGTTTTGTGATTGGCTTTCAGAAATAAGCCTGCGCAGAACGGACTTTACATGGTCTTTAAATTCGGAATAAAAACCCCTCGATTCTTTTAAACTTGGAATAAAAAAACGCCTGGATCTTTAATTAAAGAGGCTTTCTGAAACTGTCGAAAACCAGTTCCCTGTCATCAAAACAATTAGTTTCGATCGATAAAAACATGTTTTAAAAAATGTTGATCAAATGCAAAGGGGACCACAGGTACCCTTGCCTTAGCAAAGGGAGGACCAAAGGAAATTTTTCAAAAATTTAAAAAAACCCTCAACTAGTCTGAAAATTGTCGATAAAACCATTTCTCTGACCAAAACAATCACTTTCAACTGGCATGTAGTAAAACACTGACTACCGGAACACCGGAACACCACCATTTTGTTTGGGGTTAGGTTAGGGGTTAGAGTTGGGGTTAGGGTTAGGTGGTGTTCCGGTGGTGTTCCGGTAGTCAGTGTTTTACTCATAGACGGATTTTCATATTTTTTACTGGGGTGGTGCCAGAAATTTTAGGGGGGTGAGCCGTGAGCAGGTGACTGAAGCAACACAAAGTGTCACCAAACCCCAGTAAGGTCTATATTCTAGGGGTGGAGCACTAGAGCCGCAAGGGGGAGTCTAGAGAGCAGAAAACAAAGTATCCCTGGAAAAATTTGAAAAAAATCATGATTTCTAGCTTCGAAAAAACGTTTTTTGAAGTTGTCATATCAATGGATTTGGCCTGTCCGATCAGGGCCGTAGCTAGCATGTATAGTTGGGGGGTGGGGGGTGTAGGCCAAATATTTCCGAATGACGAAAAAAATTTCCGAATATTTCATGGCATACGAAGCAACGAAGGTGTTTGCTATCTGGAAAATGAAGACGCAATTTACAAACAAAAATACACATAGCCCACATAGTTTCCACAAAGACATATTACAGAAGAATGCAGTGCCGTAGGAAGCTCTTTTTGATTGGGGGCTGGGAACGAGGGCCGAAGGCCCGAGGAAATTTTTAAATTTAGATTCTCTGAAATGCCATTTCCTGGACTTTGGGGGAAGTTTTGACAGAATTCTGATGGTCAGAAAACAGAGTTTTAATATGATATTTGTGATGTTACTCTGAGTATGCATCCACAGTGGGCAAGCTGAAAAGTGTGCCTGGCCACGGTGGGAGTCGAACCTGCGACCTTTGGGATACTAGTCCAATGCTCTCCCACCTGAGCTACGTGGTCAAGTCGGTTCGACTTGTTGATATTTCGGAACTGAATCTAGTTCCTTCGACATCAGTGTAATCTTTGATATGATTTATGTGTGTGTGTTGGTGTTGTGTACTCAAGTGAATATGATGTTTGTGATGTTACTCTGAGTATGCATCCACTGATCCACACCGGGAAGCTGAAAAGTTAGCTTGCCCACGGTGGAAATAAAACCCGCGACCTTTGGGATGCTAGTCCAATGCTCTGCCAACTGAGCTACGTGGTAAAGTCGGTTTGAGTTGTTAATAGAGTTTTAGTATGTCGAAATTTACAATTTGATTACAATTTAGCAGAATTAAATGGGCGAAGTCGTATTTAGCTATATATTGGAGAAGTTGCAGGAAAGAGTATGGGTAATATAATTCTTTGCGGTTTGTCATGGATAATGTAGCCGCTTAAAATTAATCAATTGTTTAAATGATAAAGGTGTGCATGATTTTGAAAAAAGACTGATTATCAGCAAATTATTGTAAGGGTGCTGCCTCCCCCCCGGTTGCTACGGCCCTGAGAAGTACTGAAACCGAAAAAAAATTTACCGATTTACGATTTGTTAAACGTTATCCATGTAAATGCCGTGATTTCGTAAATCATTTTATACTGATTATAATATTATAATATTTTTTCTGTTTAATTAAACAATTAAAATTTTGTTATACTATTATTGCCGTAATTTTCCGAATGGCCAACCCGATTTTCCAAATATGTTAATTCTACAAAAGTCGGGGGGTTAACCACACACCCCCCCCCCAACACCCCCTCGCTACGGCCCTGTGTCCGATTGTCTGTTGACACTTGAGAGAGTTAAAGTTAAATGAACCTGTAAAAGTGTAAACCCAATAGGCCAATACACAATATGCTTTTACTTTTATAAACAACGAATTAAAAAATTAAAAAGAATTAAAAACGAATTACAAACCTAAAAGAATTAAAAACGAAAAATAATGTTTGTAAAAATTCCAAACGTTCCTTGCAAGCAAGCTATTTGCATGACAAGGCACTGCAAACTCTATTCAGGGGAGATAATAGAGTTTCAAAACTTTACAATTGCTCCAATAATATTGCTTTCTATTTGAGTGTACTCCTACGTTTATTTTGTATCATCAACACTCTGCACGTTGGAGTGGATTATTTAATTATTTTTATTATGCCGAATATTGGGGGGGGGGGTTGAAAATTTTTTTGGAGGGGTGGACATTTTGTTTGGGGGGTTAT